TTTCCCGTGACGCCGACGCCGGACTGTGACCTGAAGCGCGGCACCCGCATTGTTTTGCACCTGAAGGAGGACCAGCAGGAGTACCTGGAGGAGCGCCGTCTGAAGGATCTCATCAAGAAGCACTCGGAGTTCATCGGTTATGACATTGAGCTGATGGTGGAGAAGGCGACGGAGAAGGAGGTGACCGACGAGGATGAGGACGAGGCGGCTGCGGCGAAGAATGAGGAGGGTGAGGAGCCGAAGGTGGAGGAGGTGAAGGACGACGCGGAGGAGGGGGAGAAGAAGAAGAAGACGAAGAAGGTCAAGGAGGTGACGCAGGAGTTTGTGGTGCAGAACAAGCACAAGCCTCTCTGGACGCGCGACCCGAAGGATGTGACGAAGGAGGAGTACGCCGCCTTCTACAAGGCCATCTCGAACGACTGGGAGGAGCCGCTGTCGACGAAGCACTTCTCTGTGGAGGGCCAGCTGGAGTTCCGCGCAATTCTGTTCGTGCCGAAGCGCGCGCCATTTGACATGTTTGAGCCCAGCAAGAAGCGCAACAACATCAAGCTGTACGTGCGCCGCGTGTTCATCATGGACAACTGCGAGGACCTGTGCCCCGAGTGGCTTGCTTTCGTGCGCGGTGTGGTGGACAGCGAGGACCTGCCGCTGAACATTTCGCGTGAGAACCTGCAGCAGAATAAGATTCTTAAGGTGATCCGGAAGAACATTGTGAAGAAGGCGCTGGAGCTCTTTGAGGAGATTGCCGAGAACAAGGAAGACTACAAGAAGTTCTATGAGCAGTTTGGCAAGAACGTCAAGCTTGGCATCCACGAGGACAGCGCGAACCGCAAGAAGCTGATGGAGCTGCTGCGCTTCCACAGCTCGGAGTCCGGGGAGGACATGACGACCTTGAAGGACTACGTCACCCGCATGAAGGAGGGCCAGAAGTGCATCTACTACGTGACGGGCGACAGCAAGAAGAAGCTGGAGACCTCGCCGTTCATTGAGCAGGCGAGGCGCCGCGGCTTTGAGGTGCTGTTCATGACGGAACCGATCGATGAGTACGTGATGCAGCAGGTGAAGGACTTTGAGGACAAGAAGTTCGCGTGCCTGACGAAGGAGGGCGTGCACTTTGAGGAGACGGAGGAAGAGAAGAAGCAGCGGGAGGAGGAGAAGACGGCGTACGAGCGTCTCTGCAAGGCGATGAAGGATGTGCTTGGCGACAAGGTGGAGAAGGTGGTGGTGTCGGAGCGCCTGGCGACGTCGCCGTGCATTCTTGTGACGTCGGAGTTCGGGTGGAGCGCACACATGGAGCAGATCATGCGCAACCAGGCGCTGCGCGACTCGAGCATGTCTGCGTACATGATGTCCAAGAAGACGATGGAGATCAACCCGGCGCACCCCATTGTGAAGGAGCTCAAACGCCGCGTGGAGGCGGACGAGAACGACAAGGCCGTGAAGGACCTTGTGTACCTGCTCTTTGACACCGCGCTGCTGACGTCTGGTTTCACGCTGGACGATCCCACGTCGTACGCCGAACGCATCCACCGCATGATCAAGCTTGGCCTCTCGCTGGACGACGAAGACAACGGCAATGAGGAAGCGGAGCCCGCTGCCGCCGTTCCCGCTGAGCCCGTTGCTGGCACATCGAGCATGGAGCAGGTTGACTAGAGGTGCTGCATTTGCCGTGGACCTTCCTTCCTCCTTTCTTTTTCTTTTTCTTTTGTGCCCTGCTTTCTCCTATTCTGTGATGCACTGGGCTTTCCTAACAGGAAATTCTTTCCCACCCACACTATTATTATTATTATTATTATTATTATTATTATTATTATTATTATTATTATTATTATTATTATTTGGTTCGGTAAGGGAATAAAAAGAAGGGAACAGGGTGGATGCCTGGTGGAGGGCAGAAAGGGGGTTCCCTCTCACCACTGCTGCTGCCGCCGCAACTGTGCGCCACACACTCCGCGTTTTTGTTCTTTCTCTTTGTATATCCTTCTCCCTTTCCTCTCGCATTTCTTCTTCTCTGTATTGCCACCAGAAGATAAGCACAACTTTCGTAACACGACAACATCAGCATTTCGCGCAAGGCATACACAAGAAAGACAGGCATACACACACACACACACACACGTGTTAGAGACCCTAAGAACAAGAAACTCGCAAGGATGACCGAGACATTCGCATTCCAGGCTGAGATTAATCAGCTAATGTCTCTCATAATTAATACCTTCTATTCCAACAAGGAAATTTTCCTGCGTGAATTGATCAGCAACTCGTCCGATGCGTGCGACAAGATCCGCTACCAGAGCCTGACGAACCAGGCGGTGCTGGGTGACGAGTCCCACCTTCGTATCCGCGTGATCCCCGACAAGGCAAACAAGACGCTGACGGTGGAGGATACCGGTATTGGCATGACGAAGGCGGAGCTTGTGAACAATCTGGGCACGATCGCGCGGTCCGGCACAAAGGCCTTCATGGAGGCGCTGGAGGCCGGTGGTGACATGAGCATGATTGGCCAGTTCGGTGTTGGTTTCTACTCGGCGTACCTTGTGGCTGACCGCGTGACGGTTGTGTCGAAGAACAACGACGACGAGGCGTACACGTGGGAATCGTCTGCTGGCGGCACTTTCACCGTGACGCCGACGCCGGACTGTGACCTGAAGCGCGGCACCCGCATTGTTTTGCACCTGAAGGAGGACCAGCAGGAGTACCTGGAGGAGCGCCGTCTGAAGGATCTCATCAAGAAGCACTCGGAGTTCATCGGTTATGACATTGAGCTGATGGTGGAGAAGGCGACGGAGAAGGAGGTGACCGACGAGGATGAGGACGAGGCGGCTGCGGCGAAGAATGAGGAGGGTGAGGAGCCGAAGGTGGAGGAGGTGAAGGACGACGCGGAGGAGGGGGAGAAGAAGAAGAAGACGAAGAAGGTCAAGGAGGTGACGCAGGAGTTTGTGGTGCAGAACAAGCACAAGCCTCTCTGGACGCGCGACCCGAAGGATGTGACGAAGGAGGAGTACGCCGCCTTCTACAAGGCCATCTCGAACGACTGGGAGGAGCCGCTGTCGACGAAGCACTTCTCTGTGGAGGGCCAGCTGGAGTTCCGCGCAATTCTGTTCGTGCCGAAGCGCGCGCCATTTGACATGTTTGAGCCCAGCAAGAAGCGCAACAACATCAAGCTGTACGTGCGCCGCGTGTTCATCATGGACAACTGCGAGGACCTGTGCCCCGAGTGGCTTGCTTTCGTGCGCGGTGTGGTGGACAGCGAGGACCTGCCGCTGAACATTTCGCGTGAGAACCTGCAGCAGAATAAGATTCTTAAGGTGATCCGGAAGAACATTGTGAAGAAGGCGCTGGAGCTCTTTGAGGAGATTGCCGAGAACAAGGAAGACTACAAGAAGTTCTATGAGCAGTTTGGCAAGAACGTCAAGCTTGGCATCCACGAGGACAGCGCGAACCGCAAGAAGCTGATGGAGCTGCTGCGCTTCCACAGCTCGGAGTCCGGGGAGGACATGACGACCTTGAAGGACTACGTCACCCGCATGAAGGAGGGCCAGAAGTGCATCTACTACGTGACGGGCGACAGCAAGAAGAAGCTGGAGACCTCGCCGTTCATTGAGCAGGCGAGGCGCCGCGGCTTTGAGGTGCTGTTCATGACGGAACCGATCGATGAGTACGTGATGCAGCAGGTGAAGGACTTTGAGGACAAGAAGTTCGCGTGCCTGACGAAGGAGGGCGTGCACTTTGAGGAGACGGAGGAAGAGAAGAAGCAGCGGGAGGAGGAGAAGACGGCGTACGAGCGTCTCTGCAAGGCGATGAAGGATGTGCTTGGCGACAAGGTGGAGAAGGTGGTGGTGTCGGAGCGCCTGGCGACGTCGCCGTGCATTCTTGTGACGTCGGAGTTCGGGTGGAGCGCACACATGGAGCAGATCATGCGCAACCAGGCGCTGCGCGACTCGAGCATGTCTGCGTACATGATGTCCAAGAAGACGATGGAGATCAACCCGGCTCACCCCATTGTGAAGGAGCTCAAACGCCGCGTGGAGGCGGACGAGAACGACAAGGCCGTGAAGGACCTTGTGTACCTGCTCTTTGACACCGCGCTGCTGACGTCTGGTTTCACGCTGGACGATCCCACGTCGTACGCCGAACGCATCCACCGCATGATCAAGCTTGGCCTCTCGCTGGACGACGAAGACAACGGCAATGAAGAAGCGGAGCCCGCTGCCGCCGTTCCCGCGGAGCCCGTTGCTGGCACATCGAGCATGGAGCAGGTTGACTAGAGGTGCTGCATTTGCCGTGGGCTTTCCTTCCTCCTTTCTTTTTCTTTTTCTTTTTCTTTTGTGCCCTGCTTTCTCCTATTCTGTGATGCACTGGGGCTTCCTAACAGGAAATTCTTTCCCACCCACACTATTATTATTATTATTATTATTATTATTACTATTATTATTATTATTATTATTATTATTTGGCTCGGTAAGGGAATAAAAAGAAGGCAACAGGGTGGATGCCTGGTGGAGGGCAGAAAGGGGGTTCCCTCTCACCAATGCTGCTGCCGCCGCAACTTTGCGCCACACTCTGTTTTTTTTGTTTTTTTTGTTTTTGGAGGTAGTGAGTTAGGTTGGATTGTTATTATTATTATTGTTTCGATTCGTCATTTGGTGTTAAAAAATGGAAGAGGCTGAATTGTTAAATAGTTCTGAGGGTGTGCGGAATGCCGTTACTCGCAAGGAGCGCAAGCGACAGGAAAAGGCTGAGAAGCACCTTGAGGAACTTCGTGTTTTGAGCGATCGAGCGAATAACGTTAATAAGGAGGGTGATAACCCTTTTTCTGTTACATGGGAGCTTGAACAAATGCCGGAGGGTTCTCGAAATATTTCCTTGAAAAAGGTCTCTGTTTCCGTGAATGGCAAGGTGCTCTTTAAGGATACGGTCGTGAAGCTTTCTGCAGGTTCACGTTACGGACTAATGGGTCCAAATGGGAGAGGGAAGTCGACTATTCTTCGTTTGTTGAGTACCCGAGAGTTACCTGTGCAGTCGAATCTTGATCTGTTGCTTGTAGAACAGGAACAGGAGTTTCACGCCTCTGATTTGAGTGCGGTTGATGCTGTTCTGGAGAGTCATAAGAAGCAGAAGGAATATTCGACTGAGGCGGTGACCTTGCGCGGGAAAGTGGAGCTTAATGAAGTGGAATTCGCCCGATTACAGTTTTTAGAAGATGAACTGGAAATGATGGGCGCATCTCAAGCTGAGGCCCGTGCCCGTCGTATTTTGTTTGGTTTGGGCTTTCCAACGGAGTGGCATGAGCGTCCAACAAAGAGCTTCAGTGGCGGATGGCGTAAGCGTATCGCGTTGGCATCTGCTGTTTTTATTGAGCCGGATGTACTGATGCTAGATGAGCCGACAAACCATTTGGACTTGAATGCTGTCATTTGGTTGGAGTCGTATTTGTGTGAGCAGTACAGTGAAAAAGTGCGGCGTCCAAAAACTCTTGTTGTTGTTTCTCATGATGCCGGATTTCTTGATGAAGTTTGTACTCACATGGTTCATGTGGAGAATCATCTGCTGAACTATTATCGTGGTGGGTACAGTGGGTTCGATGAACAGCTGCGTCAGCGGCATCAGGAGTTGGATAAGAAATATGCAGCCGTTTCCAAAACGATAAAGGAGAAGAAGCGCAATGGAATGTCGAATGCACAGGTTGACGATTGGATAAAAGATCAAGTTCGCACAGGTCGTTTAGATCCATTGTACCTTGAAAAACGTCGTGACTATATTGTCAACTTCCCTTTTGCTGAACCGCCCGAGTTGCCGGATGCTTGTATTTTCAAGCTGGAGGATGTTTCATTCAACTATCCTGGTGGACCGGTGTTATTTGAAAATGTCAATTGTGCCCTGTGGACAGACAGCCGCATCACATTGTGTGGTCCCAATGGTATTGGCAAGAGTACATTGTTGAATATTATGACCGGTGAACTGAACCCCACCGTAGGTGTTGTTACGATTAATCGGAAGGTCCGTGTCGGCCGCTACAACCAACATTTTGTGGATAAATTGCCTTTGGAGAAAACGGCGGTAGAATATATTCGGTCCCTGGGCATCAATGAGGAGGACAAGGCGCGCCGTCAACTGGGCAGTTTTGGTTTGGAGGGCAATGTGCACAAAAATCAGATTGCTACCCTAAGTGGGGGGCAAAAGGCTCGTGTTGCCTTTGCGGCAATCAGCACGGAAAAGCCCCATTTTCTTCTCTTTGACGAACCAACGAACCATTTGGATGTGGAGTCGATCGAGGCCCTCTGCGAAGCGATTAAAGCGTTTAGGGGAGGGGTGCTGGTGGTGACACACGACGCTCGTTTGATTGAGGAAACAGAGATGCAGATTTGGGAGGTGGGGAACCGTACTGTAACGTCGTTCAATGGTACGCTTAGCGAGTACAAAAAGAAGGTGCGATCGATCTTTGAGCGGGAGGAGGCCGAGGCGATGAAGGAACGGAAGCAGGTGCTGGAGACGAAACTGATGAAAAATCGTCTTGTGCGCCAAGGCGATGGCAGAAACGTGGAGGAGTTACGACGAGAAATGGAGGAGAAGCAACAAAAGCAGCAGGTGGTGGACGTGGATAACGCGTTTGACTTCCTGGAGAAGCGGGGAAAAAAGAAGAAGGAAAAGAAGGAGAAGGCAGCTAAAGGTGGCTAAAAATAGGGACGGCAGTAAGGCATGCCGTTTTGTTGTTGTTGTTGGGATGGATTCTGTCGCCGGCACCCTCAAGGAGATAAAACAAATTATATATAATTAAATTGTATGAAGAGATTTTCTTGAGATCTTCATCTCGTCTACTCGCTACTTCTCTTTCTCTCACTGTGTGGGTGTTGGTCCGTGGTGATTCTCTTCTCTTGTGCCGCAGTCATTCTGTACAATCCCGCTCATCATTTGTTTTGTTCTTTTTTTTTTTCTCGTGTTTATAGTTTTTTTTTTTTTTTTTTTTTTTTTGTTGTTGTTGTTCTTTTCCCTCCCTTCCGACACGCTGTGGGAAAGGAGAGAGGGGATTGTTGTTTGGTTGGTTGTGGCGGTGAGTCATTTCACGAGGAGCGTTTCTTGGCAAGTTCGATGCCCACTCCGCGTCTTGTTGGACGTTATGAATTTGTTAGACTGGTAGGCAAAGGTGGATTTGGTGTTGTGGAGGAATACCACGACCTACTGACAAATGAGCAGGTTGCCATTAAAACCATCCCAGCGCGTTTTGTCGATCAGGAGAGCAAACGTCTCATTCGTGAAATAGACACCATGTCTTTTCTTCATGACGCCCATCCACACGTGATTGGTTTTTTTAGCATGTTTGTAACTTCATGCAGTAGTGTGGACGGCCGTTCTCTTTTGGAGGATGGCATTCAATGCAGCGGCTCCGCGGTGTCAGGGGAGGCTCCGCAAAGTTTGGACGTTCAGGCTCCAGCGTATGCCGGTCTTAGTTGCGGTGCCGCACTTTTCAAGCACCAGACTCAACTGGAGGCGGAAGTGGCAAAAATACGCGGCAGCGACAAGTTTAATCTTCACATTGTGATGCCTCTCATGAAAGGGGATTTGCTCCACTTTATCAATCATGCCTCCTCTCCTGCCGGTTTAAACCTGGCAGTCACGGAGGAGTTTATTGAACAAGTGTGTGTTGTGGTTGCCTTCCAAATATGCTTTGGATTGGATTATCTGCACAAGTGTAACATTGTGCACCGTGATATGAAGCCAGAAAACATTCTTATTCGTCTGCACAATACGAATCCCTATGAATCTACCGCTCTTATTGCTGACCTCGGACTGGCGCGAGATGCTCAGGCGAGTGATACATTTTATGTGTGTACACGTTACTATCGACCACCTGAAATCATAACAACGGTTTCACGTGGGGAGACGTCCATTGATGTGTGGTCACTAGGATGCATTTTATTTGAACTAGTGACCGGGCGTGCCCTTTTTAGGGTTAGCTCAGCCCTCAATGAACATGGTGTGTGGGAGGGTCATCGTGCCAGCACTCAGTTAGAGGTGATTCTGGATACCATTGGGACACCAAGTCATGATGAGATTAAACGCCTTATGCCGGTGGGGAATGCACAGATGTATTTGCTGCGGAGTGTTCCTCGCCCTTCACGACTTATGGAAATGATTAGGAACAACTGGCGCTTGCATACAACACGAGACCGTCAAACAAAGTGGATGGACTTGATCTCACGTTGTCTTGTTTTTTTTCCAGAGCAGCGTCCTACGTGTGAAGACTTGTGCCGACATCAACTTTTTCGAGAATTCAATGTTCTTTACGGCGAAAATGTGAAGCAGTATCCTGCGAGGGCATATGTACCGGTAGAGGTTGGAACTCTGATGGTTGAAAATAAACAGATTGTTTTGCGTCTTGTTCGACGTGCCCTGGAACAGTGCGCGCCTTTAGCCGAGGACGAAACAACAGATGAAACAGACGGGGGGGGTGAAGAGCAAGAAGAGGATGGAGTGACTCTGTTTGAAAGTGAATGTTTTCAAAACGAAGAAGAATCTTTTGAGGAGTTGAATGGGGCGAACTCCGTGGCGGTGCTTTCCGTACCATCATGCGAAGAAGATGTTCCTTCAGAAGCAAGGGCAGAAGACGACAGAGGGCCGAAGGACTTTCCTCGGTTGAGCGACCCTGGACTTCTTCATCAGTACGCCACAACGACTGCATTCACTGATGGTGATGCCTTGGATGATGTTATTTCCAGGCTTCTGAACGACCTTCAATACCACACACACGATCCCGAACGTTCTGAACAGTTGAGAGCTCTGTTGAACTACTTTATCTCCCTCCGATGAAGGTAAGAAGAAAAAAGAAAAAAAAAGACACGCTTGTTAGCTTTTTTGTTTTCTGTTCTTGGTGGTGGTGTTGGTGTCCTTGTCATTTTGATTTACGTGACGCTGCGAGAGAAATGGCGGAGCCAAAATATATATATATAAAATAAATATGTGTGTGTGTGTCTATCGTTTTTGGGATGCGCTTATTAACGCTTATGGATAAAATGCCTGTTTCCTCCTTTGTTCATTTGTCGCGCCAACAAGTGCGAGGTGTTCCTCTCGGGAAAAAAAAAGTGTGGTTTGGACTAATTTGCATACACAAGAGATGCTCGCATCAAGAACCGCAGATAAACGCCGCAGGAATGAAAAAAAAAAAAAAAATTACCCTCGGCGGGACTCGAACCCGCAATCTTTCGCTTAGGAAGCGAACGCCTTATCCATTGGGCTACGAGGGCTCCCTCGCATCCACGCGAGAACCCACACCGGCGTCATTTCCCTCAAAAATGAAAGTTGGAAAAAAAGCGCCATCCGTGGGGATCGAACCCACGACCACACGGTTAAAAGCCGTGCGCTCTACCGCTGAGCTAGGAAGGCACCGTCCCGCCTGCTCTAAACGTGATTGTTCCCTTCACCTTTGCACAAAGGAAAAAAATATATACTCCAGACGGGACTCGAACCCGCAATCCTTGGATTAGAAGTCCAAAGCCTTATCCATTAGGCCACTGGAGCGCCTTCGCCGTCGCAAAAATCTGAGCTAAAACGATAGACATGAGGAAGTTTTGTCTATCAGCCTGACCAATTTTTCCCCTTCGCCACGGGGCGTGTAGCTCAGTGGTAGAGCGCCTGTTTTGCATACAGGAGGCCTAGGGTTCGATCCCCTACTCGTCCATGTTTTTGACACGAAAAAATTTTTTTCGAAGCAACAAAAAAACTCCTCCCGTTGGATTCGAACCAACGACCTGTAGGTTAACAGCCTAACGCGCTGCCGACTGCGCCAGGGAGGATACGCCGAAGGCCTTACATCTAAAGGAGGGAAAAAATAACACCTTTTTCTTGGAAGCCGCAGGCGCGCATCAAAAATTGTTTTTGATGATTTGCGAGATATTCGCTCGCTTCGATTGATGACAGATTCGGGCTGCGCGACGGTACTGTTACGTGATTTCTTCCTATTAAACTTTATTAGAGACCCGGACGGAAGGAGCGAAGGAGCCGGCAACAGCAGGGAGAATGTTTTCCCTGTTTCTATTTTTGCCGTTCATCCTATTTTTGGTCCCAACCTCGCGGCAGCGTCTTGTGGATCGAAGAGTCTTGAACCGCCACCTATTGATATATATATATATATATCTCCAATCCAAATGGGGTGCTGCATCTCACGATAGTAGCCATCTGAATATACACACGCCGTCGACGCAAACGAAGACGATATGGCGAGCCCGACGTCTAACGATTTGTCTTTCATTTATTTTTATTTTTGTTTTATATGGGAAAGTTTTTTTTTCCGGCCAGCAGCCTTGGCGACAATGATAGCAACAATAATAATGAGAATAACAATTTTGTGATTATTCGGAAAAGCATCATCTTCCACATTTTGGTAATTATTATTATTAAAGAAGTGCACTATTTCCCCTCATAATATACATATATATTACATATATATTGTACATTTTATCGTTTTATTTAAAGAAAAAACTCTTCTTATTTTAAGATATTTATCTCCACTCATATTTAACTAAGAGCCATGAGCATTGAATAATAATAATATAATGTATATGGAAGGTCGGTTATGTATTGACTGAATGATGATTATGCGATAGTATTTTTCGAGGAGTGAACTTTTGAAGGAAAAAAGAAGATGGCTGCAAACATTTATGGAGAGTTAATTTGCTGGCGATTTTGCGATACTTTTTCATTTTTTCTTCTTTTGCTTTTTTGCCTCATTATACGAAACTGAAGTCGTTTATTTTACTCCATTTGCTCCATCTATTTGTAGGTCTTTTCTAATTTTGTGTACAAATTATGTGACCATAATTGTGAAATGTGTGCTTGTTGTTTATTAAAGTCCTTTTTTTTTTTTTCTTTTTTGCTACTTTAATATATATATATATATATATATATATATATATATATATATATATATATATATATATATACAGAAGTAAAAGCACAAAAGTACTTTACAGAACAACCCAAAAATCCGATTCAGTCATTTATTTTTTTTTTTCATTTCTTTGAAAAATTATAAGTGGGGTTCTTGTATTATAATGAATTTCATATATATATATATACATATATATTATTCTTTTGAAATGCAAAGAAAATAACGGATTATAAATTTTGCTCTGGGTAATGGGTCGTGCTTTTTTTAAAAAGTATGTATTTGTGGTATATATTACCACAGGAACAAGTTACTTTTTAGTGGTTGTAATAGTATTGGTAATATCACTGGTACTTACCAGCCCTACTTTAGCTTTATTATTATTTCTTTTTTGTATTAGTCTTTGCAAGATGTGTTACCCTAAAAAATTTCTAGGGGAATATTATCATCCAATTAGTAAAGAGGGAAAGGTATGTTTACGGGTGGAAGAAGAAAGGGAGAAGTTGTTTGAATCAGTTTTAAAAATCAAAAGATAAATGTGTTGTTTCTGATCTTGTGAGAAAAAAAAAAAGTAGAACTGCTTATTAGACGCATATTTAAAAAAAAGAAAGCTGCTATGAAGCCAGAAATTGTATATCGTTGGAAATTTTTGAATGAAGCCAAAAAGATTTCGTCCAAGAACCAATTATTATTATTATTATTATTATTATTATTTTAGTAGGAGCTTGTGAAGAGAATGATCGCCGGAGAGCTAGCCAATTTAATGAATATACATCCTGGTAAAAGGATTACACCTCTTTGTGACACTTTCCTATCTTACGAATTTTGGGAAGAACACAAATTTAGGGGGAGCAGCAGGGAGCCGATAGCGGCCAGATGATTTTTTATTTTGAACTTACCACCAACCCCCTTTTTGGTTCTTTCCCTTTCAGCGGGGCCTTGTGGCTGCAGGACCCCAAAGACTCCCCTTCATAAGCAATAAATATCTGCATTTCCGATTCGAATAGAGTGAACGGGTCATGATTGTAGCTAATGGATGGTATAATATAAATATACGCTTACTTGGAGTTAAGCTTTGGGGATATGGTACATCCACTTTTATTCCATTTATCTCACTCTCATTTCTATCGGGTTTGTTTTCTATGACTGAAAAACTCAGGATTTGGCCAGCGGCCCAGAAAAATATTCTTTTTTTCCGCCAACAGGAAAAAGATGCCCACGGAAGTTTAAAAAAATAAAAATAAAAAAAAAAAATAACGATCTTCATAAACAATAGATATCTAAGTTAAGGCGGTGGTTGGAGAATTATCTGGATTAGGCGAAGCACTGATCATTATGGCGTTTTTTGGCAACTTGGCGCTCAAAGTGGATAGTTGAATTGACTGTTGGAAATAAATAGATTATGTCCATCACTTTTTTTTTTTGACAAATTAGATCAGCTGGCTTATTGTTAATTTGGGCTGATCTTGTAAGGATCTAAGGGAAGGATAAGCAGAGAGAAATCAACAGTTGAACAGGGTATTCATGCTGCGGCGGTTATAGCATTCCACTTTTTTGGAACAAAGTGAGATAATTACTGCCTTCATTATTATCATGGGGATAGCTGCAAGCAAAGCTTATTCGCCCGGAATCTTCCGACACGGAGTTTGCGTGTTTGTGAGAGGTTTTTCATAATATTCAAAGTAATTTTGGTGGGGCTGAGAGTTTTTTTTTTTTTTTTTTTTGCTAATTTGACTCTAAAATGCTACCAACGGACCTGTTTTGCGGCCGCCAAAATTAACGAACTATCTAATTTATGCAAATTCCCACGAGGTTTTTTGGTAAAAGAGGGAAATAACATGATTTTGGGCAAGTTGCTATTTATTTATATAAAAAGCAGTATCGTGTACGAGTGGGAAGGGGCGATAGAAAATGTTATGCACGTACATATGAGTTAGGTGTAACAAAGGATAAACACTCATCATCACAAAGCAACAAAAAAGGAGGAGGAAAAGATTATAAATTTATTTTTTAAAAGGAGTTTCCAAGTATTCTCTTTTAAGAAATTTAAGGTAAGAAAAAAAAAAAGAAAGAAAACGGTATGAAGATATGCAACTAATTCACTTATATGCAGAAAAACAACAGCAACAACAAACTGACAGATGGGATAGGATCGCTCTGCTGTAGGTATTGATAAACCTTCTTTTTGTGTGTGTGTGTGTGTGTGTGTGTGTGCCAATACATTTTTTTTATTTTTACGAGAATTTCGGAGACTTCAAAAAAAACACATGTTGATATATATATATATTGTTTTATTTATTTATTTATTTTTGTTTGTTTTACTTCTTCACAAACCAAGACTCAGGTAGTTTTCTCCATGTGTAGTTTTTTTTTGATGATGACTGGGTTTTTAGAGACATCTTTTTATCTGTTTCTTTTGTTTTTTTTGTTTGGCTGGAGCATTTTTCATGTGAATGCTCTAGCAGAGGATGGGGATATGCTCGTCCACTCGCGGAATGCTACCGTTGGCGAATTTCCAAGCGGTGTAAGCTTATGCCCCAGGACTGCACCGATATATTGTGCCTTTCCGGGAATGTTGGGCTACTATTGCGTGCGTGCCGGAGAAAAGTGCTGCAACGCTTTTGAAGGGGGTGGAATTGGATGTCAACAGGGGGAGATGTGCTGTCCAGGGGTTTACAAAGCATCCTGTTGTGGATTTTCGGAAACTTGTGGCATTGATGCGAGTAATCGATCTCTGTGTGTAAAGGATCGTTGTGCCGTTCACTCTGATGTTGATAGTTGTTTGACTGACCAAGGTGAAATGGGGTGTCGTTGGTGTTGCGCAGAGAGGCGTTGTGTTTCTTCAGTACATCAATGCATCAATGAAAAACCTATTACTAGAGGCGAAATGTGCTATTCGCCATGTCAATACGCTGATACTTGTCGTCGATGCCTTAGAGGCGCCATAAGTAATAATAGCCATAGCGTTTCATGTGTGTGGTGCTGTAGCACCCAGAGTTGCATTCCCAGATCAGAAATATCCAATTGCGCACAAGACCAGTTCTTCTTGAAGTTGGTAGATTGCGACGAATGTCTAGAAGGAGGCCGTGGTGTTTTATTTTGGCTACAATATGCTGCAATCTCTTCCCTTCCGTCAGCTGTCATTGTGTTACTTGTTGGAGCTGCTACCATCGGTCTCGCTCTGCCCTATGCGATGCGCTGTTCGATACTGAGACGTCAACAGCCTGATGTGGACGATGCTCGCATCCATGCACCAGAAACAAGAGGTTCATCGGTGCGTCGTCATGGATTCAATAATTGTGATGGAGCAGTGCGCCGGTGGTGGATGAGGGGTCGCAGTGCCAAAAACACTTTATCGCATGACGAATTGGGTTATAATCGTGTGATTTCTTGCTCTTCTTGTCACTGCATATTGCACGTGCAAAGGCTCGTCAAGGAAATATTAGGTGGCGTATCAAAATTACCCCGGGAGAGACAAGAATCAAATATGAACCGTGTGCTTCCCAGTGCCGTTGATGCCACTTCCATTCCTCAGCGCGATGTTTTTCTTGGTAACGGTGGTGATAATAACAATAAGGATGATGATGATGACGATGCTGTTGTTATTTTATTACCATGTAATCATTTATTCTGTTACCCTTGCATGGGGTTGGACTCTAGTCGAAGGGTTCGCGGCTCACGCAGCAAAGATTTAATTTTTCAGTCAGGTGGTAAGGCTGGGGTCGAGGCAAAATGTCGTGATATATCCTCTGAATTTCTTGAAAAGGATAAATCTCAGAGTCAAGGGCAATTGAAGGAAACGAAAATGACAGAAGAAATGATTGTTATGGCACACTGTCGTGGTGTGTGTCCTCGGTGTGGCCGTGGGGTGAAGGACAACATACTCATTGAACACATCGTCCGACTTTAGGTTTTTTTTTTCCGTTTTTTTTTATATTTTATTTTTTATTTTTTATTGTTTACTTTGATTGCATGTGTGTGTGTGATTATTCTTCTTTTTGAGGGTGCGAGTCTCATCTGAAATGAGCTTATATACAAATATTTATTTATTTATTTATCCCTCTTCTCTTTTCGCCTTTGAGGAATAACAAGTAAAAATATTGGATCCACAATTTCAATATATATAAATACATATATATTGTTGGATAATAGTTATACAAGTAGAAGATAATGAACTACGTATTCATGGAGATAATATTACTCTTGGCTATAGTGGCTCTTCACTACCGGACAGAGGTACTGGCTGTGGGTGTTGCGACAGTAGGGCCCTTGGAAAAATCAACCCCACTATGGGATGATAAAAGCGAATCTGATGTGCTTACCAAGGAACCGTTTAACAGCAAAGTCGGTCTGAAAAAATCATCTCAGCTGTCTGTGTTATTTCTTCGTGAGGACAACAGGATCCTTCAGGGAAACGTGCGTTGTGGGGGAGGCTATTGCCCCAATGAGGCCCCTATTTGCTGTGGAGAAGCCCCGCACTTTTATTGCGTGCCTGGTGGGAACAAATGCTGTTATGCACCTAGGGGTAAAGTGGCAGCGTGTGAACAGAGCGATGAGTGCTGTGTTTTTGGAAATAATGCCACGTGCTGTAAGCAAGGTACAACGTGCCAGAGAGATGGGAACGGGTCAGCATGTGCCATAGAAGCTTGCACCAAATATCAGACATCGGATGATTGTCTGCACAAGACAGAGGAATGCGCATGGTGTTGCGAGGAGCGGCGTTGTGTTAGTAAAAGTCGGGTGTGCTCTTCAGGAGAGAAACCTATTAGGTCATCAGAAACGTGTCCTTCCCCTTGTCAGTATGCTGATACATGCGCTCTCTGTCTCTCTTATAACAGTTCAATAAATGGATCAGATGCTTGTTTGTGGTGTTGTGCGACGCAGTCATGCATCCCTACGAGTAGAGTTATGGAGTGTAATAACGATCAAGAAATCCAAGGGTTGGGTATGTGTTCCGTTTGTCAGGCCAACGGGGCTGGAATAAACCCTGAGTTTGTGGGAATGATGTCACAGTTTTTTGCCATGATATCAGGTATTCTCCTTATTGTGGGTATTATATCTTGTATTGGGGTGACCCGTGCCTATTTCTACTTTCGTGGAGGTATGCTGACGAACAACGGAATGCGTCTATCCGACGTCGACGCCCAAATGGCGGTCCGGCGCCACGGGTTTGGCTCTAGGGAAACTGTTTCCATGCAGGAAAGTGTGAAGCGGAGTTTAAATCGATTCTTTTGCAAGGTATTTTCCATGTTCAAGTCAAAGTTAAGGTTAGAAAACTCTTTTGAGGCGGCACAAACATCATCGTGTTTAGGCAGTGTGTTGTCCTGCTCCACGTGCCACCGCATACAGCATGTTCGCATACTTGCTTCCGTTGCAAACACCATGAAGGGTATCAAAATGGTTGAAGGAAAAACTGGGAGCAATTCAAACAATGATGTCAATGCGGCGGATGACGATATCGTCATTATGTTACCGTGTTGTCATGCGTTTTGTCGTCCATGCGTTGGACTGATTCCATCAAAGAATCCTTTGACGGCACGACTCGGTGAATGTCCTCTGGAAGCCCAACCACACGACGCTGACACCATACGGGCAAATTACATTCGCCTTCATTTGTCACCAGAAGAGGGTACGAGTTTCTCTCGGGGAATAGTTCCGTCCACCACGGATACACAATACGCTTCGCGTGAGGAGCAGCATGGAATGCCATCTTTTTCGGGTAGAAGAGAGGAAAATGGAAGCAATATTATTCCCACTAGTTCTACATCTACAAGATGGCAGCCGCAGCGTCGAATTAGAATTTGGAGGGATGGGCTGCTGCGTTCATTGCGAAGGCTTGTTGTTTGCCGAGAGGGCATTTCTTCACTGGAAGGGACGTTGTTGGAGAATGCTGTGCTAAAGAAAATCAATCACAAATGTCCCAAATGTAAACAAAGGGTTAAAGACGTTCTTCTTCCCGAAAATATTTTGAAATTGTAGTTTTCTGCGTGCTAGAGCGATGCGGAATTAACGACAAGACGGGTGATTGAGTGTGCAGGTGGAGCCCAGAGTACATTTCTTGTACTGTATTGGCAATTGTAAAAAAAAAAAAAAGACGATTGCCATACACGAACAAACAAGCATTTGAATTATTATTTGTTTATGTATGGCAATAAAATGATGTTTTTTTTTGTTGTTGTTGTTGTTGGCTGAGTATTGGAGGATGCCGATTTCTCTTTCTTCGTTGTTTGTGTTCTCTACTGCGGAGCAGAAACAGATGAAAAGTTCTGTGCTTCTCGGGCATCTTTTTCCTGGCATGAATTATAAGTTCTTTTGTCCTTTGTTTTATTTTCCTGACTATTGCCTGCTTTTTCTCCCCCTCTTTTTTTTATTGTTAGCGCATCTACAGGCATTGACGCCGCATGTTGGGGCTGTTGTTTTATTTCCTACTCTCCATTCTTTGAGCTGATGATGTCTCTTTCTTGGATCCCATTGCTGACCTTTACTTTTTCTCTCCCCCCTTGTTTTTCATTCTTCTCTGCGGCTTGTGCTGCAACCCAGGAGAAAAAAAAAAAAGAGAGGAGAGCTTGGAGACAGTTGGGTGATTGTGGTGGCTGGGCGCAGGCGAGGAGGAGTTGGACACCGTCTTCTTTCCCACACAATTCATTTTCTTGGCCTTCTGCATTTACTGGAGAACTGGCGCGGAATTCCTTTTTTCCAGGTTTTTTTTTTTTAAATCTTTTTCGCATCTGGAAATGAACCCGTCACGACTCGGTCGCTCTATTTCCTTTTGGCTTCGCGAGTCACCATGGAGGAGTAACGTTTGCATCGGGACGACAATTGGGTGTTCTGCCGATATCGTAACCCAGGTGTTGGTAAGGAACTCATGTGCGCGGAGGGATCGTGTTCTGTCGCAGGACGACTCTCCGCTGCTAGTAAGATGTCCCGATTTTATTCACAGATTGCTGACTCGCCTCAGGTTTGAGAAGGATAATACTCCTGCTCCCGTGATTGACCTTCGGCGCAGCTTCATCTTTTGTAGTTTTACAGTCGTATTTAACACTTTCTTTTTTCTATCTTTGTATCGACGGCTTGATGCACTTTTCCCACCAGCTGCCATAACTCGGCGCCGGTCGCTCTTGAAGGGTTTTTTGAGTTGGATAGCAGCCAACGCGACAACACCGTTGTATCTCTCGTATGTAGCAACGTTGAGTCATTATTTTATTTACCGTACGGGTCGTCGCCAGCTTTGCGCAACTGAGGACGGCGACTTTGGGTGGACTGTGGATGTTCCGATTTTTCTAGAAGGGGTGGAAAAGCAGTTGGATCGACAACTGAGAGAAGACTGGCCTGATATGATTCAGTACAGTCTTATCTTCTGGGGCGTAAACTGGATTCCGTTGTTTTACTACATCCCTTCTCATTTTCGTTATGTTTACAGTTCTTTCTTACAAGTAGCGTGGTGTGCCATTATGTCTCACTTGATGCACCGTTAAATACGGGCAATCCAATCTGGAATTGGGGTTAAAAACACCGAAATATTAAGAGAATGAGAGGGGTGTGGAGAAATTATGTGCGCGAATTGGAGGAAAAGGGAAAGTAAGAACAAATAACTATAACAGGAGGAAGATATAAAAGAACTGGGCGTTATCCTCAAAACCAATTTCCGTTTCTTTCTTTGTGTTGTGAACTGTAATTTTCAAGTATATTTTATAGTGTGAAGGAAAAAGTAAAAAAAATATATATATATATATATATATATATTATAAATATAACAATAATAATAAGGGAGGGGAGAAGGGAAAGAAGCAAGGCTCAGGTGTACCCAAAGGTTACAAATATTCAGATGAAGCGCACGTCTTTGAGGGTGCTACACGTCACAGCGGCTTTAATGCAGGGATGGGGCAAGGGGTCCTCTTCCGGCGGAGGGTGGGGTGACGATGACGGATCAGCCGGCGGTGGTTGGGGCTCTGATGGCAATGCTGGTGGTGGTGGCTGGGGCGCTGATGTTGGCGGCGGCGGCGGCAGTGGTCGTAGAGGTCGTGGTGGCTGGGGATCTGGCGGCAGTGGCGGTGGCGGCGGTGGCTGGGGATCCGGCGGTGGTGGCGGTGGAAGTCGCGGTGGCTGGGGATCCGGCGGCAGTGGCGGTGGCTGGGGATCTGGCGGTGGAGGTGGAGGCCGCGGTGGTCGTGGCTCTGGAAGCGCGTGGAATGAGGGTGACGCTGGATGGCGTGGTGCATCAACGGGTGCGCGCGTAAATCGTGGTCGTGGTAGTTTTCGCCGCGGACGCGGTGGTGCCATGGAAGGTGTTTGGGGTCAACCGAGCGCGGTAGACGAGGAGGCATGGTCAGCAGCCCCGCCCAGTTTCAACCCACCTGTGCGGCGCGTAGACCCCCTCACTCTTACAGCTGTGGAGGTGGAGATTGATGGGATCAAAAAGCTGGTGGGTCAGCGGGTTCAGGTGTCCGGGGTGTCCGACGAAACCACCTGGCATACACTGAAAGATCATTTGCGTCAGGCGGGTGAGGTGACGTTCTGCAAAGTGCTTTCAGGCGGGAGAGCTGTGGTCGAGTTCGTCACTCCAGAAGATGCTTCCCGCGCCATCACAGAGCTGCAGGCCTCGGAATTAGAGGGGGCAACCATCTTTCTTCGGGAGGACAGGGAGGACACCGTTCTTGTGAATACACGGAAAAAAATACGTGAGGCTCGAGATGCTCAGCTTCGTGCGCGTAAGGAGGAGGCGGAGCATCGACGACGAGAACAGGCTATCGCAGAGGGCGATGTGCCTTCATCCACATCTTCATCCGCGACGGAGGCGGCGACTGCCAATCCGCAACTCTGATTGCTGAGAGTAAGAACACTGTGATGTGGCACGGGTTCCTTGAACTAAGGAAATTAGGAGGAGAGTGATTGAAGAAAACAGGAAAGGGA